TATATATATATATATATATATATAGCCCATTTTCTGCACTGTCTACAGCCACTGCTTACATGTTTTACTTATTTTGACTATTTCCTTTTTAGTTAATGATGCTGTGTTGTTTATGCTCTTTGTGTCTCTAGGCTATATTTCTGGTGGTCTTTGGTTTCATTGTGGGAATCATCAGCCTCTCCATCATTGTCATCACATGGGCACAGAACTCATAACCCCGTCTGGCCTCCCTTTCAGGGTAAAGCGTGCCAGAGAAACGGAACAGTGGATACAAAAAGGGAACAGACAGCATCACCTCAAGCAGATCATTTGTGGTTAATAACACTACACCAGTGTTTGTTACGTTCTCTCTCACAAACATGGACCAAATTTACATGGACTTTTCATGTTATAATTTTGCACATTGTTGTTTACACAGTGACTTTTGATGTATAACTGAATTCAGGGAAATTTATTATTTTGTGATCTTGCAAGAACAAAATATATGTGAAGTTTACTGTGTCAGAACGATGCAAGGAACTGTCAGGCAAGTTGTCTGCAAACCTTTAAGTTCATTTTATGTACCTTATTTTATCTTTACGTTCTGACAGCCTTTGTATTGTGCTGTGTGGATGATTACACACCTGATGTAAACCAATCTGTAGTATTTAAAAATGCTGTTGAAGTCTTAACCAAGTCTTAACCATGAATGAGTCAGGTTTACCTCTTTCTCAGATTTTGTTTGTGGAACATTTTTACAGTTTTAGATACACAATCACAAACGTTCATTACCTGTTTTTATTTGTATCACCTGGTTGTTTTTTGATTTTTCTTTCCAGCTTGTTTTATGTAACGTAATGCATGTACCTTTCTGCTGCTACTCGTAATCTTTACCTATTAATGAATGCAACAAAAATGATTATATTGTTCAAATTACAGGCATTTAATATAAGTGGAATTGTTTATGTACTGATGTGTCAGTTTTCTTTATTAGTGTTGTGAAGAGCTCATCAGTGTAACATGTCACATTCATGGCTGTGTGTTTGAGTGGCAGGCTGAGACTTGCTCCTCAGCGTAGTGCTGTGGGTTCAGCCTGTAGCTAATGAAAGCCACATGCTCGGTACGTTTCTAATCATGATGCTGTTTAGATTGTCTTCATGCTGCCTCTGGAACTTACAGCCATCCGACTGCTGCTTTTAATCTAAGGAATTAGGCAGACCGGCCCTGCAGTCCCTGCAGAAAGCAGTTGCTGCCTGCTCTTCACGCCCCCTTAAAGAGGTTCCCCAGTCCAGGAAATATCCCAATCCCTCCATCCCCCACTCTGAAGGACACTCCCACAGAGGAAGTCCACCACAACTACTACCAACACTGAATATTTGGTCGTTGGTGGTGGAAGAAGTACTCGGACCCTTTGCTTCAGTAGAAGTAGCAATATAACAATGCAAAACATACTCCATTACAAGTCCTGCATTCAAACTCCGATGTGTCAATGTAAAAGTAGCATGTTCCTCTTGTAGTAGGACCAAGGGCTCAGTCCCCTGTATAGGTGTAGGGCCACAAGATGACAACTGAAAGTGATGAGGGCTCTTGAGTGAAAAAGGTTGAAAACCACTGGTTTAATCTTTAACATTTCATTGTATTTTATAAGTTTATCGTGTAGTTTTTACATTAGGGAAACATTAATATAAATGTAGCCAAGTAAAAAGTAGAATGTTACCCTCAGAGATGTAGTACATTAGAAGTTTAATTCTTCAGCACTGTAGCATATTCATCTTTTAGAAAATACAACAACCTTGTGACTGGTATTCATGGGTTCCTATGGGAACCACTGAGCTATAATTTGCAAAGCAAGATTACCACCTAGTGGTTGACTGTGTTATTGCAGTCCAGTGCCTTCTCATTTGACATTCCTCTCTTGGTTTATGAAAGCCTAACTAGGAAGAGATAACCAGATGTCCTAGTTTTCTCCCCATTTTATCATGTGTTGGAAACATGCATGTTAACACAGACCAGAGCTGTTTTTATGGAGGTCTCACTGGGGCATGAGTCCTCATCGAAGGGTGGGAGTGTTTTTGTTTAGTTAAACTCACTCACACCCTGGGCCCATGTCCAGCAGTATGACAACACCATCTCCCAGGGTTAAAGGATGGAATGAGGTGGAGGAATGATGGCGGGCTGAAACGAATCCCCTGTCGGCAGCCTCTGCTCTCGTATTGCTTTAAGAGGAGTTGTCTGTGTTCTTAGAAAATTATTTTCTGTTTTTGGAAATCAGGATTTTTGGGTAACAGCTGGGTCTGGTCCCAATGTCACCACTTTGACCTTATACACAGTTTGAAATATTATTGTTTGATAACACTCATGGATTAGATCAGCGATTCCCAACTGGGGGTAGCCAACCGCTTTACCAATTAACTCAATTAATTCAACTAAAAACAAATGCTGTGTATATTACAATTTACATGGCAATAATATTACAAATGAGTGATGAGCTTTAATAAAGTGAACAAAAGTTAAATTGGTGACTGAAAAGTAAAAAACAAACTTAAAAAAATAGACTAAAAGTAAAGGACAAACAGTTGAAGTGGTTGACTAAAAGTAAAGGACAAACAGTTGAAGTGGTTGACTAAAAGTAAAGGACAAACAGTTGAAATAGTTGACTAAAAGTAAAGGACAAACAGTTGAAGTAGTTGACTAAAAGTAAAGGACAAACAGTTGAAGTGGTTGACTAAAAGTAAAGGATAAACAGTTGACTAAAAGTAAAGGACAAACAGTTGAAGTGGTTGACTAAAAGTAAAGGATAAACAGTTGACTAAAGGTAAAGGACAAACAGTTGAAGTAGTTGACTAGAAGTAAAGGAAAAACAGTTGAAATAGTTGACTAAAAGTAAAGGACAAACATGTTGAAGTGGTTGACTAAATGTAAAGGGCAAACAGTTGAAATAGTTGACTAAAGGTAAAGGACAAACAGTTGAAGTGGTTGACTAAAAGTAAAGGACAAACATGTTGAAATAGTTGACAAAGTAAAGGACAAACAGTTGAAGTGGTTGACTAAAAGTAAAAGACAAACAGTTGAAGTAGTTGACTAAAAGTAAAGGACAAACATTTGAAATGGTTGACTAAAAGTATAGGACAAACATGTTGAAGTGGTTGACTAAAAGTAAAGGACAAACATTTGAAATGGTTGACTAAAAGTAAAGGACAAACAGTTGAAATGGTTGACTAAAAGTAAAGAATAAACAGCAAAGCTAATGCAGAATTCCACTTCCTCTTCCTGTTTGTCTTTCAACAACATCTGATCAACATGCCTTCATAGTGGATGTCAGAAACTGCAGCAAAGCTGAGAACATGCACATCTGCTTTCTGTTTACCCACATAATCTTGTTCAACAGGCATTCCTGGCTGAAAGGTGGTTCAAGGGTCTTTTCACATGAGCCTTTTAATGCCGGTTGGCATGATGAGTGGTTTCCCTTATTAGTCATGGTGGCGGACTCCAGTTCAGCAAATGCCATCGATACGGAAGTGTCATCACTGAAGAAGTGCACTCCATCTAATTTATTTTTCTTTCCTTCTCTTTTCTCCATCCTCTCCATCTACCATCACTTCATGCTGATTTTCTGCTTTTCATCGATTTCCACACTCTATCAGTAAACATGCTTTTGGGGTCACAGTATGAGCATTCCTTGCTCTGAGGACTCTTTGAGACGGCAGATACAATTGCCAGAGTAGGATTTACTCTTTTTACACTGACATTTCTTCATGCTTTTGGTGGAATTGTATTAATAAAAGAAGAAAGAATAGACTATTAGGATACTGTCGTCTAACAAGGCGTGGGGCAAATGTAGTGTGATCTTAAACAACAAACACCCACTAGGCTGTGCTTATCTTCAGTGGTCTTTATGTATAACATCATGCTTCTTCTGTTTTCTAGCCAGTGTGCCTTTACGCTTCATGTTGCACGTGTGTAGACGAGTGATGTCCGTCACCTTACCTCCATTGTGGATGTCAGAGCACCACAGGCTGCACAAAGCAGAAACTGTGCTCAACCATTGTGTGCAGCAAACATCTTTCTGTCTTGAATTGATCATCTTGAAACAGTGTTCAAGGGAAGAATTGCCTTACATACTCGGGGGGCCAACATAATAGCAGCAACACAATGACATAAAATAGACTCCAAAATTGCTGTCACCAAGACGTAATAAGCCTTGTAGAGAGAATGTCAGATTTGATATTGTCAGAGCAAAAATGAAGGTCAAGAGTGAAAGAAGTCTTTGGTAAATAAACAAGGGGGATTTTACGATGTTTTAAGAAGTATTGCAGTGCTTAGTTATTTTGGCAGATGATGAGCAGGGATTGAGAGGTAGGAAGGGTACTGATGGAGGCCCAGTGGTCAGCAGCACAGTATGGGGTTCAGGCTGTGTTTTTGGGGTGGTGAGCAGGGGTGAGCTTGTCTCTCTGCGATCCCATCAGCCCTGGGCTGAGCTCTTAATGCAGCCCTGACGCCTTGCTGGCGCAGGGGCCACGCTGCCTCACATCTGGAGCCAATTACCCTGGAGGGGCTGTGACAGAACCCAACCTGCCCCACCCCCTCAACACCCTCTACTCTCTGCTCCACTGTCCAACGCAGCTCCACTTTTCACAACACAGTCCCTCTTAACTCTTCTTTTCTCCCTTACCTTGCAAAAAAAAACACATCCTCTTCATTGAACAGGCTTTCTTTTAAAGGAAGAATATCAGGATGTAATGGTGACTTAGAGATTTAACACACTCACCTTCAATAAAAATGCCCCCTGTTGTATGTCATCCCCCTCTCTCTCTCTCTCTCTCTCTCTCTCTCTCTCTCTCTCTCTCTCTCTCTCTCTCTCTCTCTCTCCCTTCAGTTCCTAATGACTCTAAACAAATGTCAAAAATACTATGTTAAAAAAAAAGAGTATGATCAGTTTGATGTGACACCAACTTATTTGGCCTTCTCACGACACCGTGGTAGAATTTTTGCAGAATATTACCATCTTAAGTCATGCTTTCCTGTGGTAGAGCCCTGGCAGTAAACACCACTTGTGAATATAGCACATTTAGTGCCAAATCAGCTTTTACAGGTGTTATTTATGGAGTGCCTCTGCTTCCATGCAGGAGAGCCCCGGGGATATTTGTGTGTGTGTGTGTGCGTGCGTGCGTGTGTGTGAGCGCGTGCGTGCGTGCGTGCGTGCGTGCGTGCGTGCGTGCGTGTGTTTGCGTGTTTGCGTCTGTGGTTGCGTGTGTGGTTCAACATGTAGGTTTATATACAGCCTTACCTGAGGAGAGGCTGGGGTCTTGTGACTGTAGGATGGGGGTTAGTTCTGCTGCAATCCAGTGACTGATGGATGTAATTGAGTTTGTGGTGGTGCAGGAGGCGTGGTGGGGGTGAATACTGGTCCCGCAGGATTTCTCTCACCCGGGTCAAAAGAGTTGGGAATGGGCTTCGCCATATCTGGTCTATATGCTCCTTTTCTCCGCTGCCCTGCTTGGCACCAATGATATGGTTCATTAACTGCAGCTATAGGGTGTACCTGGGCAGGGAGCCAGAGGATTGGGCTGTCCTGGGTTACACAGACATAAACTGGAGCACAGACTGTGAAGTGAATGTGGAAACTCTACAGGTGGCTAAAATGAAGTCGTATACAGAGAAGTCTGCTCTGAAATATGGGAGGCTTTTGGTAGCTGGCCTTTCGCTTGTGTGCAGTAAAATGTTGTCATCTTGAGGAGATACATCAGAAGTATTCCTGCCTGGGTGTGTGTTTATAGCATACACGTGGCTCTGTGTGTACATGTACGCATGTAGCCCACAAGTCTGTGTTCTCAGTTAGGTGTCAAGAGTCGTGTGAAGTTGTTGCAGACTTCTCCCATGGGTGCATAATTCAAGATTTGACCATGACAACCACTTACAAAGAGAAAGTTAGACTGGAATGAGGAGGAAGGGATACAGGGCCGCAGAGTGGACAGACAGAGGATGGAAAAAAAGAGGGGGACTGCAGGTAGAGCAAAAAAACAAAACAAATCATCCCAGACCGTAAAAATGCCAACTCTGGCTCCGGGGCTTTTAAAAGTTGCTTCATCATAAGAGAGAGGCAAACGGGGAGGAAGACATGGGTGGAAAAAAATAATTCAGCAGTCTTTTTCTGCCCTCTGCTGGATAATGATAAACTAAAATATCTTCATACTCCAATGGAGCCTCAGTGAGCAGTGATCAACGCACAACCACATTGACCAGGCACAAAAATACCATTAAAACACCTTGACTCTAAGGCATTAGTTGCAGATCGTGAGAGTGAACATACTAGTATGTTTACTCTTGCTGGTTGAGGTGATCGACAGCACAAATTTCAGGTGCAAATGTTTCACTTCAACCCACCAGGTCCAACAGAAGATTTCAAGCCTTTGCTGCTGATCGCTGTGAGTGTATTAACACTCCGGTGCCGAGGCAATCCGCTATCTGCCTGCTTTATCATTACAACCTTCTCTGCTCAGTAAGGTCATGTCTGAGACGTTGTTTACAAGACAGTCTGTATCCCAGGGATGTGTAAGATCTGGGACCCAGGATCTTTATTTATAACAGCTGGAGCAGAGAGATGTGGAGCGCTGACATTTGGCAGAGTGGGGTGAGAGGTCAAGTCTAACACCAATAAAGTGGGACTTTGATCGTGGTATTTATGGATAGAGCAGGCACAGCACCCTCAGAGAGAGAGAGAGAGAGAGAGAGAGAGAGAGAGAGAGAGAGAGAGAATGGCATTTAAAGAAGAAAAGAGAAAGTGATAGCACTGGGAAGAAAAGAAACAAGGGAATTCATTAGTTATTATTTCCTTCACCTCAGGATTTATTTCACATTAGCAACTGGAATTTGTTCCCCCAATTAATCAATTAATCTTTTGGTAAATAAAATGTCAGGGGGAAAAAAAGTTTAAAATGTCCATCACATTTTCACAGTACCAAACGAGACGCTGTCTGACCAACAGCCAAAGCCGCAAAACATTCAATTAACAATGACAAAACAGACAAAAGCAGAACATCCTCACACGATTGACTAATTGATTCATTTCACTAATCATGTCGGAACAAATCAAAACCATCAAAAGGGTTGTTCCAAATTTGTGATTGGCCACTGCATTTAATTTTAACTGCCCAGATGAGAATCCTGTTAAGTTAAATGCATCCTGAACAAAGTGCAACTTTTTTTTCATCTTTCTTTTTTGAATGTAAATTAATTCTCCTTTAGTTTTTAAAATGGATAAGTCCAATCTGCTGCCTTCTGAGGGGAAACACAATATCTCTTTTACTATATTATACCTTATTTTAGTCATATAAAGATATTCAGCTTAAATATTCCCTCAAATGTTGCCCTAAAATACTCTATAGGACAATATGTTCGTGCTATTCAAATAGGTCAGGCGAAGAAAGAAAGTATTCCTACCATGTAGTTTACTATAACAGCCACTAGAGGGCGGCATTTCCACACTCAGCACAGGAACGAACCACCCGATCACAACATTTCACTGTGCAAAGTGATGCATGATGGTCAGCGTAGTACCAGACTACTCTGTCTAAACCAGAACTACAAATTGAACCATGTGACACACCAAACCCACAGTGACAGGTTGTGCGTGTGCACGCTCCGTGACAACTTTCTGCGGAACTTGTGCCTCCTTCTCGGCATGTGTGTGTCGTTGCTTCCTATTGACAGAAACTTCTTGAAACAGGTTCACGCAGAGCAGCAGCAGCGCGGAGGGAGCCGACGGTAACATGTCTGTGCTGCGAGGCGGTGCGTGAGCAGGTAAAGTCAGGATGAACACGTATGTGTTGACATCAGGTTAGAGCGCACGGATCTACAACTATGAATATATGACCGCATATTTGTGTTGTTATGAAGTAGGCGTGAAGTTTTTCTTTTTTATATAACTTCTTGGTTTATTTATTTCGCTTTTTGAGCGTGTGTTTTTTGTTGTTGTAATATTTCCGCGTGAGGCTAAATTAGCGTGATCAAAATGAAGTTTAACGGTTATCTGAAGCTTCGGATCGGCGAGGCGGTGGGACTCAAACCGACCACCTTCTCCCTCCGCCACTCTGTCATCTTCAACAAAGCCCCTCCGGCCCTGGACCCCTACATGGTGGTGAAGGTGGACGACTTCAAAATTGGACAAACCCTCACCAAACAGAAAAACAACACGCCGACGTTCAACGAGGAGTTCTGCCTCAACGTCAACGACGGGAAACAAATCGAGATGGCAGTTTTCCACGACACTCCAATCGGATATGATGACTTTGTGGCCAACTGCCTTATTCAGTTTGAGGATCTCATCAAAACCTCCAACACAGGAGAAACATTCGAGGGATGGGTGAGTGGAACGTAAACATATTGAGCCTGAACTGGAAAACAATTATGTAAACATGTTTTTAAAAACCTTTATTACCCAAAAGCATAGCACTTGATTAACCTATTAGGGTGCCCTTTGACCCATCCCACCCCGCTATCCATGCCTACAGAGTGAGGCTGGGCTTTTGATCCATTTCATACATGCATTTATTTGACAGATTCAGATTCAGACTTTGCAGTAATGTGACATATCATGTGCCATTCTGTAGGATGACACTTTTATTTTTACTTTTATACTTATGTACTTTAACTAAGTAAGATTTTCACTTACTGTAAATTAGATCTGCAAGCAGGTATACTTGGTATGAGCAACTCTGAACCAAAAGCACACTGACCAGATGTGACCCAGAGGAAAAGGCCATCTCTGATTAATATACATCTTATTAATAATACTAATACTTTGGGTATTGATCCGACCACCCCTACCAGAGACCAGAAACCAAGCAGTACTTATATGCTGGAACAATATATCTGGCCCCAGGTTTTCTGTGTGTCAATTAACTTGTGCTAGTTTACATAAAAACAACTTTATTGAGGAACATATGTGAGAACAATATCAATACAGGTGAAAGGGAAGATGTTGGGGGCCGTTGTGGGTCTGGGAACCTTTTCTAATCCAATCTTGACAATAAGAACCACTAGATCCATGGATTAATTACCTAATGGGTTTACTAGCCACGATCAGAGGGGCTTGAGGAGTGAGGGGGACCAATCCGATATTTTTATCATATCTGTCTTTCCAGTTATTTCTGGTAGAGGGACCTATTGTCTCAAAACAGTATTTCCCCATTTACCTTCTTGAAGTATACCGTAAAACTGATTTAAAAAAGAATAGAGTTCCTATGATGGACTTGGATTAAGAAAGTCATCAGTAAAACTCCTACAGGTTCTCCTCTCTACACAAGGGAAGGGTATTGTAGTTTTCCCAATGATACATGCTGAACAGTATTTAAGAGCAGGTTCATGAAACAAAACATGCCGTTTAGCTCAGGGCAACGTTTACTACACGTGTCGGGGTGGGAAACATTGCCTGAAAACATCAGCACTCCCTTGTATGCACAGGCTGTCTGGAGGCTAACACCCTCACAGATTCACATCGACAGGTCTCAGTCTGGGAACGATGCACCGGACAGGGGCCTCTCGTGTTTTGCACCCATTGGCTTAGAAATTGTGTGATCTGAAACCACACACACTCCACTACTGCTGTTGCAAAGGTGTTATTTCTGCTTACAGATAGTCATACCACAATGTAGAGTGCACACAAACGGGGACACATCACACCAGCCTGCACAACATTGGACCTGCCTGTAGAAACAAATGTGCGGTGATAAAACCCCCCCACACTTTGCCTTTCTCGAGACCGTTAAGGAAGAAAGTGGACCTCATCAAAGCTCAGATTAAATGCCTTATGTAGAGTATCACATTAGTCTCACTCTCTTCCAGACACAAACATAAAATTGCCCCTTAAACTGGAGTTTCCCTCCTCTTCCTTGTCTTCATCCGTCTCAGACTATAAGCCACTGCAGCAGGTGTTGGCGAATGTAACCTGAGCCTGTCTAGGCCCGGAGCGGGCTCAGGTGGTATCGACCACGTACCACAACACTCTCGTCACACGCAGAATGGTCTCCCTTCTACGGGCATATTCTCCTTCAGCCAACACAGCTTTTTGTCAATTAAGCATGTTTTTTTTTTAATCGCGCAGCGAGTTTATATTTTGCAGCAAAAGACTTAATTTCACCTGTGAAAGAAAGTAAATCAATTCAACAGCCAAAAGGGACCTTACAGGAACTGTAATGTAACTGTAATTCCCACCCACCAGACCTCACTGACCATCCAGAGACTTCTGCGGTTCATCACTTCTCACCTGACATTTACATTGACAACACAGTGTGGGCAAGTCGCAGGGGCATAACCTCAACCAGTACGTCAACAAAGAAACAAGTACGGTGCACTTAAGAGCATTCAGGACATAAGGCGCCATAATTACACTTTGGAGCAACAGAACAAAGTACAAAAAAGATAAGAAACAAAATAAAACATGTGCAAATTGATGCAAATATATGCAAATTGATACAAATAGGATGCACATCGACTAATATTGAAGGCAATCAAGCTTCTGCACGTTTTAAAATGTGTGTAAAAGCGATGAGAAATGAATATCCTTATGTAATTAAAGTTGGTGTTGATGTTTGTTTGAGCAGGATGAAAAGCCGAATCAATGTGCTTTTGCACACGTATTCACCAAGACCCCCCCCCCCCCCCTCAAACGTTTGGGGGAAGTGGTGTGAAAGTGGAGCCCGGCGCGTAGTTTTCTCGAAGAAGTATTTACGTGTAGTTCACACTTCAAGACACAAGCCTGAAGTTGTTATCCGTTAGATCTGAACTGTGGACGGTGTGTTTCACATGTGCGGCAGCAGAGACTGAGGCACAAGTCTCCTCACGCCCACACTGCTATTTATCACAGTGTTCCCACCGTTTGATCAGAGCTCAAAGGGCTCACCATGAAAATACTCACTCTCTGTCGGCTCTTTTCGAAATTTCTCTTTTCTCCCCTCCTGTGCACACAGTCCAGTTTGAGGCACTTAAACCTTAGTTACTCATCTCCTGCTTTTAACTTTTAACGTGATGTCAGAAGTGACATCATGCGTCTGAGACATTCACCATCTGACATTTAGACTCACAAGGCCACTTTCCTTTGCCTCCCACCCGTTGACGCTGCGTGGCACTACATCGTGACATTTTGGACTCCTTTGAGCTCTCACAACATGTTGTCAGTAATCAGTATTGGGGTATGTGTGGTGTTGGGGTTGTTTATCATGCTTGAAATAGTCAAGTCCCTCTGAGATGCATTCAAACTGAAAGTAGGTTAAATATGGCCCCTCAAGCAAAGTGTTCTGCTTGCTTGACTAAAATGGGCCCCATCCCCTGTTTGAAAAAAAAAAAAAAAAAAACTTCCTCCTTTTGTGATGCAGCATTTAGTGTTCTGCTTTTAATCTACAGCCACATGCTGCCTTCACCCACCTCTATTTTAGATCAGATCATCATCTGCTCCATCCTAATTTATAAGTTCACCTTTTTTTCAAGACGTCTTAGTACAATGCTCATTATGTCGATTTTAAGAGTTAGTGATTGCTGAAATTGTTCCTCCTGGCCAAAGCCAGAAGCCAATTTACGGTTTTGACAGCAACCAATAGCTCTTCCTATATACCTGTACATATGGACATAGAGATATTGTTTTAAGAGAGCCTTGAAAAAAATGTGGAACTGTCCTTTATTCCTTCCGTACAGCTGAGCTGTTTCACCGACGGAGAGAGACATTCCAGGAATGCATTGCAGCTCTTTCCTAGAGCTTGGCCAGAGTAAGCAAAGGGGAAAAGATATAGCACACATAGAGGAAGTCTTCACAGTGGACAAGTCAAACTTGCTGTCTGGACAGTAAGTTAAGAGACAGGATATGAGTAGGTAAACGAAAACAAAACCAGTTGAGATGAAGTGAAATTAACTAAAATAAAGTGCTACAGTAAGTTTGCCAAATGAGTCACCACAATTTTCACCTAATGTGCCACTGTTTTGTGGGTAGAAAGAATTTTCCAGACGGGGGTGTATGTGTAGTATAAATAGAACAGATCTCTATTTAACTGTACAGTGGCCCAAGTTTCCACTCAGTGGTTTCTGCAGGAAGTGTCTCGTTCTGTCTCCCGTCGCTGTCCATCCCTCAGAAGACACTCTTTTGTATGTAGAGCTATTTAACGTGTACGCGGACGTCATCACTCCCAGCTGAGCATCACGTCACCACAACCTCTGCAACAAGCCCAACCTGCCAGACCTGCTTTGCTGTCTTTCAGACACACTGCCCAAATTCCTCAGACATTATGTGCAGACATTTGCGGTTACGTAGCGCCATTCTTCATATGGAGAAATGTCACGTGCCATCTCATATGCCCGCATTGAATGTGCCGTATTTCTGGTTTCCTTTTTGTTTCATACAGGGGAGTTTTGGTTACATAGTATTTATAATGAATAGGTCTTAATTGTATTGGATGCTAATTTCTGTCCGTGCTGTTTCTGTTTAGCTATATTTGAGTATGCAGAAATGTAATTGTGAGTTTGTGTGTCTGCAGATGGACTTGGAGCCAGAGGGCAAGGTTTACATTCATATTACACTCACTGGATCCTTCACTGATGGTAAGGTTGCCACTTTAGACTGAAATGCAGCTCTGTGTTTCTCCTCATGCAGGAACATCGCTATTGCTCTTCTCCTCCTCTCAAACTTTTTCACACACTCTTGAACGGCGGTAACCATCATACCAACTCAGTTAGTCACTCTCTTGTGACTATTACTATTCTGCGAAACACGGCCGACTGTTTTGAATAGTTATCTGTGAGCCGTTGATTACCCAGAGTGCAACTGTGTAATTACAGAGGCTCTGAGAATAGGTGTGCATGTTTTTGTGTGACTCGAGTAGGTTAGTATGTGTCAGGTAGTATGTCAGGTATGCTTGGTGTAGCTAATCTCCTGTGATGAGAGCAACGTTTCCTTTCTTCAGACGCCAGAGGGCATCTGTAGCTTTATTATGCACGTGATCTTTTAACCAATGTAGATGTAACTTTCTAAATGACACCAGTAGGAAGTGACCTTGCAGGTCTTTCGAAGCAGAAGTCTGTTTAGCTGGTGGCTACTTGGCCTCCGTTATGTTCCCCTTTTTTTTTTTATCTGCTGCCATCATGCCTCACTGCCAGCCAAACTCATGAAGCACTAACATTTCATTTACCTATGAAATACATGCCAAATGCATTCATTTACAGCTTAAACTAAGGTAGTCCAGGTGTTTTCCTCGGATTGTCTAACCTTTTAAAATCTCCTGGCACACCACTCTAGAATAGCCTCTTTTTCCTTTTTTTGCCCTCTGCAGAGTCCACTGGAATGTTTGTTTTCCACGAAAGCACCTGTCACAATACTCCCAGCAGACATCACAATTTACTCCCCAAACTTTGGAGATAAGCTTTATGTGAATATTTTGAGAGTGTACGTTCTGCATCAGTCATGTGCTTTAAAGGTCACTATTGTTGAAACACAGGTGACCCGAAAGGCAAAAATATTTTTTTAAATTTTCACATTGCGTGCTGGTCAACCTCAAAGGGTATGTGAGGAGCTGCAGAAAGCACAGAGCAACGAGAGCCAGCTGCCAAATATAGAACAAAGAACAAGCTCATACTGATGCCGGTGAATGCAACATTACACTAACACTAGAGCTAGACGGCATGGTTGAAATGAATGAATTACTGATATTGATATACATTATCAAATGGCACATTTGTTCAAAATAAAGAGTACATATTAACAAATTATTGTTTATTTATTGTGGACATTGTACAGTGAGAAAGTAAGCAGTTGTGCATATGATAGAATTTCTTTCAGTGCACAAAAACACTTTATTAAGAATGTAAAGCCTCCTTCTCACATTTCTACCACAATTGTTGTTTGCAGGGGGATGGCGGGGGCTCAGCAGACGTGTTTCCGTAATGCATGCGTGGTTTTCCATCTCACAAATAGCTCGACTACACTTCTCTTCAACTACAACACATAGAGCCAAACAATGCAGATGCGCACAAAGAAGATAATACAATATGCACATGAATTTGCACGACACAATCTCTAAAGGACTGTTGTTCAGACCTTTCTCTATCGTCTTTTATTCCACCTGTCTTCTCTTCATCTTTCCTCATTCTGTCTGTTCTTTATCTCATATTAGTGACCTTTTGTCATGCAACAGTTAGAGTTGGATGATATGGAGAAACATAAATTGAAGATATCCTTCTGATAATGATATCACAATATTTGTTGAGGTTTGGAAACTCATTTGCAAGTCAAACAGGGAATTTTGCACCTGACATTGTCAAATGTAAACATCATGCTGGGAAACATTGGACTTGTACTGAAACAATCAGTTTGATCCATTAAATGAAAATGTACTAACAAGTTATTCTTATGTTCCAGCTTCTGAAACGTGAAGATTTTATGCTTTTCGATGTTTTATGTCATTCCCCTTTAAGACTTATAACCCTTTATAGAAAAGATCTGAGAGGCAAGTGGGAAAAAAATACATCTGGTGATCAATTTTCTAAGTCGGATCTAAATAGTTTACTCTAAAAAACGTTGTTGCCAGGATGATCTTTCCAGGTTACTTTCCTTTCCCTCAGTGTCTGTTATTGTAATACTCAACAAGTCCTGTCTGGAAAATGAGGCAGTGGTGCACTTCAACCTCTTGTGGTGATAATTTGCACATTTACATTAAAACATCAAACACTTCATTCTGAAAGAAGAACAGAAATGTCCCCCGACAAATCACCCGTTTTCCCAGATGAAAAAAGTACCTTAGAAAAACAATCCTTGTAAAACTGGCAAAAACTTAAAGAAAACGATTTTGATCAAACCTAAAAAAAATATATCAACAGAATATTTTTTTCTAATTGCCTCTCAGGGCTTCTAAAGTTAATGTGATGGCAATTTGACATATTTGAGCCCAAGTCACTTTGATGTAAATGTCACAAAATAACTAAATAGTTTTTCTGGTTCCATAATATATGGAACAAAATATGGCACAAATAGTCCCATTGCCTGTGGGAATCTAGCCCTTTAGCTGCCAAGTGCTCCACTGCGTTCACCAGATGGTCGCTAAATGTATCTGTTTACTGTTCGGTGCTGAGCATGCAGTGTACATTGTGCTTAATCGGGGCCTTTGAGCTGAAAACAGCTGCCTGTTGTAGCCGTAAACGTCGCTATGTGACATTAAAGGCCTGGGTTACAAAACCAGAACGAGGACCTGAAAGATGTTATCGAGCTCTGTAGAGTCAGGTGATATTAATATCATGTGGGTTTGCCACAATGAGTGACCCCTTTCACATACAAGTAGTGGTATGATACATTTCTGATATAGAGATATTGATTAGTTCCTTTAAAGAAATCCCACATCATGATAAAATCGATCCATTTTCAAATTTTAATTTTTGTGTTTTTAAAACTTTAGCCCTTATGGCATATGGTCTAGAAATTAATTCATGGATTTCTGACTCATTGCATTTGTCGCACTCATTTTGTCTTCACACAAACTTTTGCTCTCTTTTCTTTTTGTCAGATGACGCCATAGTGAAGAACTACAAGCAGTTTACAAGGAAGAGACAGGGGGCCCTAAAACGGAAGATCCACCAGGTGAACGGACACAAGTTCATGTCCACTTTCCTCCGTCAGCCCACCTTCTGTTTCCACTGCAAAGAGTTCATCTGGTGAGAAAGTCGAGCTACGTCAAATCACTGGAGCCTGCACGTATCTGTGTGCTCTGTAAACAGGATCTGATTGTGTGCCTTTCTCTGTGTTGTAGGGGTGTTTTTGGAAAGCAGGGTTACCAGTGCCAAGGTGAGCAGACCTTATTTTCTCTTTCTGTCACAATTACTTAAACATACAGACACTGTTTGACACTGAGCTGTTGCTTTCTCCAGTGTGCACCTGTGTGGTTCACAAACGATGCCACCAGCATGTCGTCACTGTGTGTCCTCGCATGAAGAACCCAACAAAAGAGCAGGTAAGAACAGTTTGACTGTCCGATGAGACGCGACACTCGACTTCAGGGACTCAAGTATGTTGTTGCTGTTATTTTTCACCGCTCAAGCAGTTTGTGTGTCGTACAGGATGTGCAAAAGATAGACCTTTTACACCCCCTCCTCCTACACACACACACCCCTGATTAACACCTGCAGTAACACAAACTGCACAGGTTCCCGTTTCTGTGTTGAGATGGTCACTGAGCTAGAACACTATACTTTTCCAAGCATGCTTGTTGTAGCATTTTCACATGTTTCTATAAATACATCTGTGCTTGTTTTAGCATTGGAACATGTCCCTTTTTGCTGTATCTTACGATATTTTGCTGATCATTACAAGTTTCTCTTCCATTGGAAAATTTAGGAAGAAGCAAATGCAGCAATAATCAGAAAGGACGATGACAAAAATAGGAACATGCAGAAACATTTTTAAGAATATATACACACGTGGTTGAATATACTGTTGCAACACATAGTGGTTAGTTTACAGTATGTCTTCTCTCCACAGCCCATAAACCAAGGCTTCAGCATCAACGTCCCTCACATGTTCAACATCCACAACTACAAAACGCCCACCTTCTGTGACCACTGTGGCTCCCTGCTGTGGGGAATAGTCAGGCAGGGGCTGCACTGTAAAAGTAAGACTTGCGTCAACACTGGGCTCTCAAAATCCAATCTCAAATGTCCTAATTTGTCTGTTATTGAGTGTTCCTCTCTGTCTGTGTGGTCTCTCTCTCTTCAGTCTGTAAAATGGATGTTCACATCCGCTGCAAAGGCAACGTCGCTCCGAACTGTGGGGTCAACAGCGTGGAACTGGCCAGTAGGCTGGCAGAGATGGGTCTGCAGGCTGGAGGACTCTCTAAACGCAACTCAGTGGTACAAAGGCCGAGTCAAATCAGTGTTGATTTTACTTAATTGTAGCTTTTATAAGTCGTGTTAAATTGATGTCCTTTTGCACAGGCCAAAAGTGCAAGTCAGATGAGTGCCCCCGATGAAAGGAGGGAGAGTACAGCCACTCAGCAGCAGACTCCTCGACTGTGCCTCTCAGACTTCACGTTCCTTCAAGTCCTCGGCAAGGGCAGTTTTGGCAAGGTGGGAATGACATAAGAGGATAATGACAAATGATGAAGACCTAAGTGAACAATAAGGAAGCCGGTAGAATGTGGGAATATGGTCAAGAGGCAATTTATTCAGATAAATTCAATAACTTTTTCAAAGGATTTTGTAACATGAAGCATATCAGTTGGTATTTCCAGTACTAGAATACATTTACTTAAATAGATAAACCTCATATTCTGATAGGATTTGCATCAAGGTGACGCTGAATTTGGAAAAACACGTGTGAATTCTCACCTTTCCTACTCTTGTGTATGTTGTATCTACAGGTGATGCTGGCGAGACTAAACGGCAAAGATCAGGTTTTTGCGGTCAAGGTGTTGAAGAAGGACATCATTTTGCAGGACGATGATGTGGAGTGTACCATGACGGAAAAGAGGGTGCTGTCACTGGCCCGCTGTCACCCCTACCTCACACAGATGTTCTGCTGCTTCCAGACGCCGGTCAGTACAGATCACACACGCATGCATTTGTATAACAATAAGATTTTATTATGAGGGCAATCTGTGCATTTTTCCAATCAACAGAGGTAATGTTTTCATCTCGGACCAAATACTGCCTACTGTGCTTTCTTAAAGAAATGTTTTCAGATCAAGTTGTGGCATAAATAAGTGTTCCTTGAAAAGAGCACCGTGCAACAAATATTGTGCAACTTTGCAGTAATACACTGTATTTCTTGACTTTTGAGGTATTTTGATGGTTAATTTGCACATGATCATTTTAATCCAGTTTAAATAACTAGTATGCCAGATTATATGTTATTTTTCAGTGTAGCACATTTCTAATAACACTTTTTTTTTTTTTAAGAATCACGTAACAATATCAAAAACTGTATGGTATTAGTTTAATCTTTTTCTATGTTATTACACTGATGCCTTCCACAAGTCTTTATATCATTCAGATGATTCTTCTGCGTACAGTGGTCTTCATGTGGCATAGTTTTATATACCTACAGCCTTGCTTATCAATACATTCATGTAAATACATTTAAATCCATAAATACATATTGTACTTGTCAGTAAATAGCATGGGATTCATTTGAGTGCAATATCATGAATTACTCCCCACACTATTTTCAGATCCATTAATCTGTACCTGCACGTAAAACGGTTCAGACACAATGCAGTGTATACAGTTGGAATGTGGTGTGTTATTAGGACACAGCATTGTAATGCCTACATTGGTCAGCAGGTAGCAGCAGTTTCCCGTTGTTGTGCCTGAGAAGGTGTGAGGGAGTAAATACAGCTCGGCTGGCTGAGCTGTTCCTCCTAATCTGCTTTCATTGTTTGAATCGCCACTGACCTACTTCATCTGGGATCAAAATAGAGCAGCACAAAGTGAACTGGCTCATTCAAACCCCACACACAACAACAGAATAGCCTTTGTTCCACTGCACATCATATTTTACTTTTAGATGTCTTGTTGTCCTTTTTCTGAGCAGGTCGTCACTATAATTAACTTGTCATTTTATCGTAAAAGCACCTAGGAACGTTTTGAAACATCTTCAAAAAGGTTCAAATCGATCAGTCTTTAAGTTTTGTTATGACATTGCTATAGTAAGAAGTACTACATGTTGACAATTTAAAGAGTAACTTTTCTCCAGAGTGATTTTTTTTTTCTTGAGTGAGAGGGACAGGGGGGTGGGATGAGTAGGGGGAATGTGTTGCGTCTGTGGGGAGGTGGAGTGGGCACATATTTTTTTACCAAATGTGTCCTCGGAAAATTGTCGTTCAACACAGCAATTCATCATCATCTGCTCATCTTGAGCATTAAAATGCTAATTAAATCGTGTCTCGCATTGCCAGACATTTAGCTCATCGAGTCGACGGAGGGTTGGAGAAGGTCTTGTAAAATACATTAGTAAAAGTTAACTCTGGAAATCCCAGAGGCTACCATTAGTTGGCTTTAAATTTAAAATGCACACTCACACAGGAAAAGGCATCTGTGGTTATTTTAATGTTCAAGTAGAATTGTGTAATTTAATTGAAGTAACTGTAACAGTGAACCACTTTTTTGAGAAAAGATAGGTACTTGCACTTTATGTGTCTGGCATTTAGAAATTATACAACTCAGTAGGATTCATTAGAGACGAACAACCAAGACACTATTCTAGTGTGGAATTAAGGATTTCCTTTACAGCTTCACAGCTACACCACACACAGTACAGCCTGCTTTACTTGTGCAACACTATTAAACGTTATACGTCTCAGGGTAAATGCAAACTACTCTAAACCACAGAGCAGTAAAGTGGAGGCAGCTGTGGCTGAATGTCCTGATCTCTTCAGGAAGCTTCATGAGCAGATCTCGACATCACATTCTCCTGCAGTGTTTATTTTCCCCCAGGTTCTCATTTTCTAGATTACATATCGACCAAAGCCTGTAATGAGAGAGAAAGATTTATGGGTTTGATCAGTATTCCTTTTGCCCCATTGACTTTCAGCGTCAGTTAGTTGCACAGGAATTCATTAAAACAGACATTTGTGAAATTAACGAGACGCAGACGTCATCTTTGAAGCAATCTCGGCATGACCGTGGTCATGGGTTCTTGAACTGGATAATAACAAGGAGTCTAGTGGGGTTTGTATTCACATGTTTAAATCTCATTCACTCTTTCTTTTGCAGGACCGTCTCTTCTTTGTGATGGAGTTTGTGAATGGTGGCGATCTTATGTTCCACATCCAGAAGTCCAGGAAGTTTGAAGAGCCGAGAGCATGTTTCTACACAGCAGAGATCACCTCCGCTCTCATGTTCCTGCACAGCAAAGGCATCATCTACAGGTCAGAATCAGGGAGCACACACACAACAATGGGCTTTGCAGTCCAAGTCTACATCTTAACTAGATATTTTCTCTTTTAACGAGTCCTAAAATAGCATTTTGAAGAATGTAATATTACATTCACTGCAAAAATCCTTGCTTCAAATTATTGGCACGACGGGAACCAAGATGATTAAATTGTTTTCTTGTTTTAAGAAAAAAAATGTTGCGAATTGCCGAATATAAAAGAAATGTGTTAAAGGAGAACGCCACACATTAATCTCAGTTTACTTATCGAATAGAAAATTTCACAGCCTTCAAAAAAAAACGTTTTTATTATGTCTTGATGATGTCATAACCTCTGATAATATAATCAGGGTCATATATCGATTTGGGTTTGGAGACAAAACATTTATAACAGAAACCCTACGTGGCATGAAAAAGATGTGGGCATTCAAACAGGGACAGTCTAACTAAAGCACAATCCAGCATTTTTGGATCTTGACCCATATTAAGGACTTAATTCAGGATACTGTGTTTTGTCCTCTGTTGCATCGATGTTGTCCATTTGTTTAATCTGTCTTTGGTGAATTTATGGGAGTGAAATACTAAATCTCTGGGATACTCCTTTAAGACGGATGTGTTCCATGTTTTTATCCAGACATTATTGACTCACTTTTCCCATTTGAGTTGAAACACCAGTGTACTTTTTGAAGTCATTCATCATACTGAGTTTGCCGCTGTGGTTTCATCGCGGCCTCCTCTCAAATTCAATTCTCCAGGCAGCTCTTGCAGCACAGTGTGTTGCAGCCAAACACTTGGACTGTGCATCCAAATGTTCACTGTTAACTCAGTGTCACCTGTATTTTCCGCAAGCACAGCGTAACAACAGATTGCCACAGAGTGCACGCTATAACAGCATAGTTACAATATTCTGTTTATGTGAAATGCACTTTCATAATATACTTTAATGTGTGTTTTTTTAGAAGTTTTATATGATACATGCTCCTATTACAGTATCAGAGATTTGAGTATGTGCTTTGAGACCTTTTTAAAATGCTGTTGTACTTGCAGGGAGTTGGGTGGCAGAGCTCGGGCTCCCTGCCAGTGCACGTTGACAAGAAAGGTGGCATCATGTGAGCTAAATCCTGAGCTATATTTAGTGGTCCAAGTGTTCTGTGATGACCTGCACCGCATAGCATGACTCTAGCTCAAGTGGCCACACACAGTTTGCATGCTACAACTAAAATAACAAGCCAAAGAGCAGCTTGCACATCAGGCCAGTGCAAGACGAGCAGAGCTTATGCCGCCTCCTTAAAGTAAGAGTGTAGCCTCAGTCACTGTGTTGTGTAATATACTCAACTAGATATCTCTCTAGATATAATCTCTTTTACCTTAGCGTGAAGTCGTGCTTTGAAGCTTTCAGTTGATTCAACTGCATGTTACCGTCCTCCTCTAAGAAGTTTAAAGATGTTGTTTTAACAATCCTGTGGTTATTCAAATTGTAATTAGCATCACAGTGGTGTAACCTTAAGTTGATGTGTATTTGTATAGATTTCAGAAGGCGTGATAGTTTGTCCAGATGTGCTCTTACCCTGTAAAACCACAAAAGAAAATAAGTGACAGTGCGTGCGTCATCATGTTTGTCAGACCTTCCTTTTCTCTTCTTTGGAAATGTTTATATTGGTGCAACTCTACCTCTTACCCAGTTAGTTGTCCTTGCAGTGGGATACAGTAGCTCAGTGTTGTAAATGTTCTGACTGTGGATACCAATCTGTCTGACTGACCCACTTCCTATAGCAAGAGGCTCAAGTTAAATCAGGTTTTGTCCTCCAGTGTGTTGAGGTGCCTGGGTGAAGGAGAACAGGAGCACTCCTTGCAGTGTGTTAATTGCATAGTGATGTGTGATGAGAGCCTGGTAGTAAAACCAGAAGGGTTAGAGATTAATTTCTCAGTGGACACATTCATACTGAAATATTCACACCAATAGTACTTGAAGCAATTTGGAGCATGAAAATGAACTGAGCAGAACTGCCCGTATATCACAGACACAGATACTGGCCTCGAACACTTCTGTTATTCCTGTTGTATTAAGCCCTTATATGCTCTTACTGTGGTCTTGTTGTGTTAGCATCAGGGTTGCTCTCTTCTGGCCTGTTTGTAAGGCTGCGAGGGACACCATGAGTCACTGTTACACAATCTGTTTACATTAGAGAAGAGCAAACCAGATTAATCCAACCAAACCAGTGCTGCTCAACCAGCAGGCTGCCTGTTTTTGTTTTTGTTTTTTTTCATTCAGAATGTCGGTGTCACTGTATTTGTCTGTCTGACGAAATCATTCAAGATCCTTTTTTACGTTTTTTTTCTGCTGGAGAAAACGGGATATAAAATAATCTGTTCTTTTTTTAAGTTGTATGTATCTCCCAAATGTTGTTAGTTGTCTTGAGCATCAGCCTGTGCTATAACATAGTATCTTCTATCCAGCTTTAGACAATGTCTGTAAAATGACCTCGGTCTTAAATTGGGTCACTTTATCGCAGATTAGCGTTTAGCTTCAGAGCCCACATTTAGAGGGATTAATCTCACTCTCTGATGACAAAGCAACAGCTCGCATGAACACAGAGGAGATCTTTTTCATCATGTGGTTAGGGAGACCGCACAGGAGAAGATACTTCCACTAATATGACAATACAATTTATTTTCAATTCAATTAATATTGAGATATGATAACGATAACTACAAAATGATTCATTTCTGTGGTAAAATTAAATCAATTTTATTGATATACCCCCAAATCAAACTTTATTTTAGAGGAAAACAGCCAACATTGATATCTCCCAATAAATAGGTGTTCCAAAATGAATCAACAAAACAATATCACCGTATCTTCATTTACTTCCAGTGCATCTGATTACATCTGATCTAGTAACCTGTAAGAATATGTTCCAACAACTGGAGTCAGAAAAAATATTGTTAGGAAGTCCACAGAAGACCATCTCTTTATGTCTTTTTGTGACTCCCTCCCTTGATATAACTAGAAACAATACCAACAAGGTGCGATGGAGACTGAGCATTTTAGCAGCTGTTGGAGTCAAGTGCATTTTGGTGGTTGATTTATTCCTGCTGGATAACAATGCCCCAAACAAACGACTAATATTCTTTCACTGTCTGTGTTTGTCTTTCAGGGATCTAAAATTGGACAATGTTCTTCTTGACAAAGACGGTCACTGTAAGCTGGCGGACTTTGGCATGTGCAAAGAGGGCATATTTGAAGGCACTGCAACAGCAACTTTCTGTGGGACCCCAGATTACATTGCCCCCGAGGTCAGTTTCTACACTTGAACACGCTGAACAAACATAACTAACTTTAAGATAATGTAACTTTAAACGCACACAGTTTGAGACCCATAACTACTAATAATGACAGATATGTGGATACTTTATCCACCACACACCTGTGATACAGGACATTTTCATATAGTTTGGTGCTGTTTTATATATTTCAGTTTTAACGTCAGCAGAATCCAGCAAAGCATAAATTCAAACACATTTAGCCTCCTGCAGCCCAGGTCTTCTGAGTTCATATGATGCAGTTCCAAGTCCCATCCTCTCTCCATCACACCACCTTACGATAAACAAACACTGTGGCCACTGCCTGTAACTCCCTCCGGACTTACTGGAAGTCAGCGTACCTGTGAGGTCAGCTTGTGAAAGGCTCTGTGACTTGACAAGTCCTGATCTCCTCATCAGAATGCACTTTTACAGACGCGCTTGGTTTTCATAATGAAGGATTAAGTGTGTGTCCTCATGTTTGAGAGATTTTTCTCTGACCAAAGCTCAGTGTGTCTGGATTTATGAAAGGCTTGTTTGTTGTCCTCAACACTTGCTCCTCAGTGTAGCCTCACTGGCAACACACAAATCCAACACGTCTACTAACTGAACCTCATGACATGGTTTTAAGTTTGCTGTAATGCTCTCTGTGCTGTGATGGTTAACTTTAATGGTATGCTGTGACATGTCTCCACAGATCCTGCAGGAGATGCTGTATGGGCCCTCTGTTGATTGGTGGGCTCTCGGGGTGCTCCTCTATGAGATGCTGTCGGGACACGCTCCCTTTGAGGCCGAAAATGAAGATGACCTCTTTGAATCCATCCTCAATGAAGACATTGTTTATGCGTCTTGGCTCAGCGCAGAGGCAGTGAATATACTCAAAGCTGTAAGTCTGCGTCTTTAAAATGGTTCATCAACTTGTAGAAGTTGCATGATGGATAAAGCTAGATGAAAGCCAGGTGTTGCTGCCGTCTTTGTCGTTTGGCAGACATTTACCCTGATCAGATTTCCGCTGTCTGACCTTTTTCACGGTAGAAAGAAGGAAATGTTTATGAAGCTTTTTTAATACTCAAAAACTGATGGAGGAAATCAATTGCTCACTGTCCTAGTCAACAGCATTGTGGATAGAAAACCAATAGGTTGTGAACATTTACTAAAATACCAAGTACCTGCATTCCTGGACAGTGTAACACGAGCCTGCCGTGTGATATGTTATATATTTCTGTGATCAAGGTTTGTTATTTGTTGTCCTTCAGACTGACTGACACTCTCTGACTGCAGAGTGACCATGGAGCTCTGCCAGCCAGCTCTTTGGCCCGGGTCTCTTACATAACTATATTAAGGCATGGTCCACTGCCCAGTCACAGCGCACAAGCTATAAATACGACGACACCCCCTCCCTCCACTCCCCCCTTCTTTGCACCCAGTTCTCGTCTTATCCTTGTTGTCATTCCAACATGCTTCGGGAAGCATAGGACCGACCTCCCCTGGGGATTTGTGTCACTGCTGCCAGTGTCGCATGTTATGTAAAGATGCTTGTTGGTGTGATTGGATTTGAACACTGCTGCACTATTTATACTGAGCGTCGATCCATTGCAAGGTTCTCCTTGTTCCAATAAGCAATTTCATCAAGTTCAATTGAGTATGTTGACAGTAATTACTTTTTTAAATAATAACTGAAGTTTATTTTAGTGGTTTGTGTATAGATGGTTTATAAACAGGTGGATGTTGATTGTCAGTTGAAGCTATGAATTAGGTCAGAAACAAATAATTACTTTCATTGTTGATTTTTTTTAATTAATCATTTAATCTATAAAATATCCAAAGACCGTATAAGATGCCCGTCTCCAAGGGCGACGTCCTCACATTGCCTTTTTTGTGCAACAAACACTCCAAAACTCAAAGAAGTTTGATTTACATTCATATAAAACACCCCCACTTTACAGAAGCTGGAAGCAGCAAATAACTAATATTTTGGTTTACAGATGAAAAATTGTTCATTAAATTATACATTTTCTGCCAGTTGACTAATTGAACAATCAACTAAGAGTTTCAGCATTTCTTTCTGCTGCTGTCGTGGAGAATGGCCTCTTCATGTGGTAGTGCTGACATGGCAGGTCTGGTGCTGAGGATGGCACAGCTGACGTGTAGCTGACGGAAAGATGGCACCAAACTCAGTGCAGTACATTTTCTTAAGTTTTGTGGTCTGTAAGCTCCTCAACTGATTGACCCCTGCTTGTCTGTCTAACTCATTATTTCCACTTCATGGGCCATACTGGTGTACTGGTGTGTTTTAAAAAATATATATATATTTTAACCCATTAACTACAAACCAAGTCATCAAATTCATGCTAGCAAGTGACCACATAAACATGAAACTATGTCTTGCAAAAATTAAGAAAAAAAGGACTAAACTATGCAAAGCTGTAAACAGTATAGTGTTTTAAGTTCAATCACACCTCTTTATCTCCTTATCTCCCCTTTAGTGCCGCTCCTCTTCATCTGCATTTACGTCTCTCTTATTTCCTTTGTCTCACTCTTTCTCTGTGAACTTAGTTTGTCTGAGGCATGTGGTGTCAGTTAGGCCATTGTTGGTTAATAGTGTCTTGAAACTGATATAGCGAGACCTATTGATCTTTCCAATGACTTCGGGTTAATCGGGCCACTTTCGCTGTGGAGACGACGGCCCGTCAGTTTGTTGCAGCCTAGTCTGAATGTCACCGCCAGCCCTCGGGTGTGCACGGACTCCTCGGCCAAGAGAGAGCTTTCCAAAACACATTTGTGCTTTCAGTTTCATCCCAGAGGCAAGTTAAAAAGTTTTTCAATTTTGAGTTTGTTTTGTTTGGACCTCTTTCTCTGGACTCTACAGCCCACCACTACTTTGGTTGCAGAGAAATAGAACGCTGTTCTATTTTTTTTTTTATTGCTTACAACACCGGGAAGTCGAGACACCTTAGTTGCACTTGCACAGTTGAACTTTCTTCAACTGAAGCATTGGGGGATGGGCCAGATACAGGCCAGGGTGTGTTTGTTTTGAGTAAGTTGGGAGGCGGGTATTGCCTGCATGTCATCATGGCTGAACTCCAGTTTGGCATTACTCCCAAAGAAATCTGGTCTGATCTAGTTGAATAACATGTCATATTTCCTCACTATGTACGGATCATAAATAATTGATCTACTGTTGCTATTATGTGTTATCTTCTCTTGATAATTAACAGATTTTAATATTTTCTTATTTAATCTCTCTGAATTCATCCATCATTTGGTTTTCACAGCTCTTGACCAAAAACCCGGCCCGGCGTCTGGGCTGTGTGGCCTCAGAGGTTGGAGAGAGCGCTGTGACCAGCCACACCTTCTTCACTGGCATCGATTGGGAGAAGCTGAATCGTAGAGAAATGGAGCCACCTTTCAAGCCCAGGATCGTAAGTGACATGAATGATTTTATTGATGGCATGATGGTGTGTGTATAAATGATAATGAGGACACTCAAGACATTAGGTAGTGTTTGACTTTGTCTTACCATGTGGTTGTGTTTTTTTGCTAAAATCTTGCTGCTGATGGATCATTCTTTATTATTCCCCTCCAGAAAACACCAGAAGACGTCAACAACTTTGACCCAGATTTTACTCAGGAAGAGCCCACACTCACGCCCATCGATGACCCGCTGATCCCCTCCATCAATCAGGAAGAGTTTCGTGACTTCTCCTACACCTCGCCTGAACTGCAGGAGAGCTAAGGGTCTCCTCGTGGATCCGCCAATCATCCTGCCCTCTTCTCTGTGTCTGTTGCTTTTTCTAAGACAGTTCCCAGTGGTACTTGCAGTATGGTGCTGTCACATTCCCCAGAGACATGACGGTGCAAAATTGCCAAGGAGTCAGTCAAACACATGCTCAACGAGAACTGGGGCTGCACCTGATGAACTCTTAAGCATTCCTATAATTCCCCAAAGAGTGGCATGTGGTCATCTTCTCAAAAATGACATTTAGTTTTGCCGTTTGGACACATTCGTTCAAGTGTCTGTGTAGAAATGGTGTATTTGACATGTTGGTATGTTGTAAACTTGTTTGACAAAGGTGAACAACCTCAGAATGTTACTGTACATTTTGCTCTGGATGATTTCGCTTCCAGTAACTTCAAATGAAAGAAGTATTTTTATGAGCACAATGGCGTAGTTTGTGTTTTATTTTTGCATGTACACTGTCTAGGGAAAGGAAGAAATAATGAGCCAGCCGGCCAGAGATTCCCAGAAAAGTCTAACTGAGTGAGCAGATGAAATAGTTTCTCAATGATGTGACCCTACTGTGGAAAACCTGACCCACACACAGTGGCACAGTGATAGTTAAAGCAATTACAGGGATGATTTGTCTAAGTAGCTGCAGTCAGTTTTGGATAATAGATGATGTATATAGGTCAAACTCCGTAAGAAAAACTTGGCATCAGTCTCAATGATTCTCCTTGCAATTGAATAACCCAGGCATGTTGAGGATTATGCAACGCTTCATCTGAGGTGAAATCTCTGTGGTGATTCACGCTGACTCAGACATCCAAAACTTTTGAGATTTCGCCACACAGGGGAACAATGCTGGTATGGTGTTTGCCAATTGCCATATTCAAGTGAGTCTTGGTGCGTCTGAAGTTTTCTCAAGAGTAACAGTAATCATTTAGTAAGCTGCTCTCTGCTTACACAGACACAAACGCACACACAAACACTCTCTTTCTCCTTTTCTCTCTCTCTCTCTCGCTCTCTCTCTTTCTCTCAACAAACGGAGCCTTTGAAAGCTTCCAGGTCCGTGGGCAGACTGCCTGGGTAATGAGAGCTCAGGCGGGGGCATTTTCAAACTTGCAAATCCCATAAAAGTTATTGAATACCCTCCCTGCTGAACACTTAGACCACCCTCAATGTGAAAATATTAAAATTAGGAGGAGACAGAGAGAGAGAACCTAAAATGTTAACCCTTCGGTACAGTAACTTTGGCATCATCATGGTGAGGGCCTTCAACAGTTCATTTTGTGATTGCAAACCTGTAGACTAAACAGGAAACCACACTGCGTCATTACCGTTGGCTTTGTTTGAAACAGGAAGACACAAGAAGACAAGAATTATGCTTTTGGGACACTTTAAGAAGCGTGAATACAGTATGTGTTGTTGCTGACAACAACAAAGGAAAAAAAGACACTTGCATTGAAAGGTATATTGTGTTCCCTGTGTTGACCTTTCAGAACGGAGGTTAACTCTTCCTGTTAGTTTCAAGGAGGAAGTCTTCAGTTCTCCACATTACATCTGTTTATCTTCTCAGCCCCATATCCTGTTGAGAACTGTGTGGCTGTATACTGTGAATTAGTATTGTATATGGTTTAGTCTAATCTGAAACTGGAAGCAGTGCTGCTATGCTTTTACAGCACAAAATAAGAGCTAATGCAAAGCAATGTTTATTTACAAAAACAAATTAAAAATGGTTTCTAATAATGCAACTGAACTTTCCTAACAAATCCTGTTGAACAGCATTTTAACTTTAAAACACCTAACTTTTAAAAAGTGCATTGATCTCAGGGATTTAATAGCATCCAACTTATCTACTTAAAGCGTTCCTTAACAAACATGGGCGGTGAGCTCTATACAAAGAATGGGACATTGGATTAAATGACTTGAGTGTTTGTTTACCCATTAACGGGACCCCGTTTGGCAGCTTTCCTCAGGTAATGTCTGAATGAGAGGAAAGATGGAGGAGCCTTGTCTCAGCTTCTATTACTGAGACTGACTGATGTCTGCCAGCAGTGCCTCTTCACTGCTTGATTGAATCACTGTTTGACTCTGCTGTCCTGCCTGTAGGATTGATGCCCCGAAAGTAGCAGAAGAAGAAATAAAACTACACAGACATCACCTAAGTGATTCTCTGTAGAAATCTTAATGTTTCCTACTTGTTGGGCTTTTTGTGCATCTGCACAAAGTTCCAGAATCCAATCAGATGATGACCATTGTTACAATAACAATGCAATCTTTCTTGTACATCTCAACATTTCTCTTTAAAATGATTATATTAATGTTGTTTCACAGCACAGAGTCCCATCAGTGTGTTTTCACTGAACTCCCAAGACATAAGAAAAGTTTTTGCGACAATAATAAACTAGCTTTTCATAAGTTTGCTCACTATAAATATGTTACAAAAATAATCTCACACCGTTTGCTATTGCAGAGATAACTGGCAGAGCTTGGAATATAACACCTTTCTGAAGTGACCAAAAGAATAGAAAGCGGTGTGGCTAGCATCGTAGACAACTTCCAGACTATCGTCAAGTTAAACTAAATACATAAACATTATTTGATGCAACTGAATAATCTGTAACACTCAGGATTGAAAACAGGCTCAGTCATTGCTGCTGAAGTGCTGCTACTAGCGTAGTGTAAGACCCATATGAATCCTTATATAATTTTCCACTGATTTTCTTAGTCACACTCTGGTTTATTGGCCTAAAAAATAAATTCACAAGGCATAGCAAAGCTACTCATGGCTTTTCTGGTCATGTGTTTGTTTGTTCTCAAGTCAAAGTCTGCTGCTCTGACACACAAACTGACGTGTTGTGCCACCCAGCCAACAGTCTGGCGAAGCTTTGCTTAAATGCGTCACTTTCCAGATGTAACAAGCAATATGTGCGTAGTAAGAGGACAAAAACTGTTAGGCAATATAGCAATTTAACATCTAATGAGGAGTGAACTTGGGTTGGGAAATCAATTTCCTAATATTTTACTTTCCCAAAGCTGTATCACAGTTGATGTGAATAGCTGCCAAACAGTGGTATGGGATGAGGAGCCTGACAGGAAAGAAATCTCAAACCACTTCAGGAGAATAACCAAAACCATCACCAAGCCAGTGAGTGTGATGTGGATTCTAGTTGAAACCCCTCAAATGCACACATCTGAGTAATGCTAAAATGCGAAGAGAAAATATGTCTAAAACATACAAGCAAGTAAGCAACTAATTAAAGTCACAACAATACACTTTAACTTTTGAAAAAGGATTAACCCTTAAGTTTGAAATTCTTGAAAAAAACTAATTTGGACAATGTGGGAACTGGAGGGGGACAGGGCAGGGTCCGTTTGGTGGGGGAGGCAAAGACGAGGATAGTGTTTCATGTTGTGCATTTTTGGTTAAAAAACAGTTTAAATTTGCCATTTGAAGAGTACTAAGTAAAAGCACAGCAGCGTTTATCCTGGGACACTTAATAAAAGGCTTTTAATATCAAAACACCCTACAACTATAAATCTGAAGGAACATGACAGGAGTATTAAAACCAAAAGAGACATAAACAGCACTCTACTCCGTATAGCCCTGTAAGGTCTATGTTGGTGTCATAGACGGACAGTTGAATCAAACACTGTATGCCAAGTGTAGTCGACATTTACAGTTCATGCTTTGTTTCCTCTGGCTTCACCAGGCTTTCTGTGCGCGTCCTCGATGGAGAGGGCATGTGACTGCGCGTCCCCGCGGAGCCAGGAGGAGTGTCTGTACGGTGTCTCTCACCAGCGTGGCACTGTCTCTGGAGAAGAGGAGGCAAATGTGATGGTGTTTAGCGGATGAAAACACATTTAAACAGTGAGAACTCAAAGCGTTTGAGGATTTTACGGACTCACACCAGTGAATAATCGCGGGGTTTTTGGTAAATTTCTCGACGGGCGCGGACACAGCTTGATACTGAGAGAGAGACTCAACTCTGGTCCTTTCGTCCTGACATGGACACAGGAACTGTACCAGAAAAGAAAAGGTAACGGAAATGCTAACGTCGGGCAATGCCACGCAGCAGGCTAACTCAGGCTCGTTTAAGAGCTAACATAACAACTTTGGTCTTCGATTGGGGTTTGACTGCTACTCGTGATGTGACATTATGTGCTTTATTTCAACGTTTACTGATAGTTTTGTCTGTTTGTTCGACACAATGCGTCTGCTAACGACGCTATTATCGTTAGCAAGCTACTAGCTAGCTTCCGCAGAGCTGTTGACGTTGACCTGTTGACATACCAAGCTGCAGGTGTTTATTTTGATAAAATCTGCTTTGAAATTAAATAGATCTTGAACAGCTATCGTTACTACCGGTTTGTTTTTGATCTGTGTTGAGATCTCCTAAATGTAATACCTAGCGTAAGGTTTACTTAGAGTCTGACACATGTGTTAGCTTTAAATCCACTTTATAGTAAACTAACTGCTGTGTGATGTGACATACTGTTTGTGTGTAATGTGCCAACCATGATAGTGTTCATCGTTGAGAAGCTGCCGGCGCTAGTCACGTGACAGTGGTGTGCGGTTGCTGATGAAATATTTAGGGTTGAGTGAAGTTGGCGTTGGTTTGAATTTCTCTTTTTTGTTTTTTTGTCCTGGAAGCAGTTCATGGTAAAGTTTAATTAGAGAAGTTATTATAATTTATTTCAAGTTACCATGTAAGTGTACGCGGAAAACTTGTTTGGTAATAGTCGGATTTAACACTACTTTTAATTCCACTAAATTGTTCTCACCACCTGTAATCATCAGCAAAAAGCCCAAATATTTAGCTGCTGAGTCTGTCTGCAGTTGGGTTATCAATCCTCATTCGGACATCCAACACTTTGAGATGATGTATTAAATATTTTTTTATATAATACATGATATTAATGATTCACTCTTAACCACAAACAAAATAGATGTTTATGTTCTGACTAATACATTTTTTGAAAATAATTTTCTATCATTGAGTAAAACTCAAGCTTGGCAGAGTCTGCATTATTAAGTGTAATGTTGACCTTCGTGGTTTTTCTTGACATGCTTTTGTTAATAACATAGTAATAATTAGTTAGTATTGACTTTAGAATAGGATCATTAACACTTTGCTGTGCTTTCAGCAGATTACTGAGGGCCTTTATATCATTGACAGACACACTAAATATGTGGACTTGTGCTGAAGAAAGCTTGATTTTTGCAACATATCCGTCCTGGTTCCACTTACTGTACAGATCCAGATGGAGGGAAAGGTGGTTCCAATAGAAACAGCAGGTGCAAGACCGAAAAGTCATCTAAAAATATAGACAGTCCTGAAAAAAAATAATTACATGTAATAGAGCAGAGTCTTGATAGTGGGCAGGGAACATGGGGATGAGGGGGTGAAATAGCAGGAATGAAATTCTTCCACAGAGGACAACACAAGAAAACTTCAAAGAGTGTTGTCTTATTTAAAAAATGGTCATAGAGGAGGATGTGCTTTGCACCTAGGTTTCCTGTACAATCTCTTGGTAAAGTTAGGTTAAAATGGAATTAAAGGGTCCTCCTAAAATGACCTTGTGTTTCAACAGTTGGTAATGGTGTCTTTGAAAAAAGTGTAAACTCAACATGGCTGCTAGTTGTTTCACAGAGCTTAAGTTTCATTCCACATACTTAAGTCCTACTGAGCTGTTGTTAAGATCTTGTTACGGCTGTTGGTGTTATGCACTTGTACCAAACTTGCGTGGCATGTGTTACTACCGGGGTATTCAATTAAAATTCAGCGAGGTCCAGTTAGAGAGAATTTCCTCATAGAAAGGTTCATCAAAATAATGTCTAACTTGTGCTGTGACTTATGATTTAGTCAATCAAAAAAGCCACGATGTCCATATTTTTCTCATCTTCTAAAAAGAGAAATCTGTGTGCAGGGACTTTATCTGTTGAAACTACTTGTTTCAGCTCTAGTTCTCTCTGTTAACATCAGTGTTGGACAGTGAATTACTGTGTTAGGATTCTGATCATATTGGGCTCTTAGATTGTTTATTTTGTGTGCCTTCATTTCGGATGCGAGTGGATTGGTTTGGTCAAAAGATGTGTGCTTTGTCTCGTGGTGGCGCTTCACATTGCCGCTTTCAATAACTGTCACGGTTTCTGAATATACTGGTCGTACTGGTTTTGAACTGCCCTTCGGAAGAATGAAGATATAAGTCTGTCCATTCCTGTTTAAGGCCTCTGGTTTTGCTGTCCACACTTCTCTTCTTGGCGAACCCAATGTGAAATAACTGTTGGGTCTCTCTCGTGTGTGTGTGTGTGTGTGTGGGGGGGGGGTGTGTGTGTGTACATGTCACTGGAGTTGCGACGCTTATCAGAATACACATATTTGATTGGCTGAGTAGTATTTACAATTTACAACGCATGTAATTGGTCGGTGTGTTTTTTGGACCACTGAATGAGTGCCGTAAAGGCTGGAAAAGCTGCGCCGGTTAAAATAAAAGTAAATCATTTTCAATTATCTATCCGGTTACAAGTCCAGGTCCGGAATACAACGACGTTTGGGTCCGGAACCGGACCGCTGTCCACCTATTAGTGACCCCTGTGTTCATGTGTCTTATTTATAGGCTGAACAGTTAAATAGTTTGCATGTAGTTATCGTCCTTAAATTCAGTTTGGTGGGGATGTGTTGTCATAGACTGCATCCCATTGTCCGATAGGCTCACTTGGTATAGGCCTAAGATAGGTTCAATAACTGGTTTAGTCTCAATAAATAGCTTTGTGTTATTTGTTTTTATCTTAGTAGAAATCAAGAGTCGTGGTCGGTTTGATGCAGTTCAAGCTGGTATCTGTGAGGTGCCTCTGTGGTGTGATATCAGTCTCATCTCTTAATCACTGGGGCTTGACGTCAATAGGAGGAGCCAAATGTGTTTTGCGATTCACTGCCTGCCAATTTGTAAATTGCCCTGCGGTTTATTGTTGGAGTACTTGTTCAGGCTAGTAAGAACTTGAAAAGGAATTGGTGTCTCGTTGGTTGTGTTTGCACATCTTGTAACTAAAGACAGAAATAAGAAAATGTGCACTGAAGGCTTTAAAAAATAAATAAATAATAATAACAAACTGATAAATCTCTGCTTTCTTTGGATGTTCATTGAAGTTAATCGAGCTAGCATGTTGCTGTGTTTAAAAATGTGGAGAGGTTTTTGCCAGTGAGCTATATAAAGGAAAACAAGCAGTTGAAACTTCCTAAACTTTAATTGTGAGGTCTGAAAAATTGCAATAAGATGTTTAATGCCACATGTATCTGTGTAAGGACGCATCTTTTGTTCACTGTCTTTATTCAAACACTTTGTCAAAGCCACTGTCAGCATGGCTTTGACAAAGTGTTTAAAAACAATGAAAGGAAGCAAGTTTGAAAACAATACCTCGATGCGTCATTTCTTCAACAGACTGCACATTTATAATTTGTCGTTGAATATATTTGCCACTGTGCTCATTAGGTTGTACAATTTAACTATGTACGTTACTACTACAAAGGTTAGTGTCCACAATGTGCCCAAATAACATTTCAGTATTTTATTTGATATTGCCTTGGATTAATTGACCTAAATCTGGATTCATATGGGGATTTATGTTTCTTTTTTTAGTTTTGGGCTCACGGATGATGCCACTGTCTGTCAACAAATAATAATAACTATAAATAATGATAACTATGAACTACATTATGATGCCAAATCGTCACAAATAACTTTAAGTGATGCTGAAGAATAGCCATATTTAAATTAAACTCATGTATTTTGAAAGCACTGAGACACTATAGCACTATATCTTTTTGGTAAACTGTTATCTAATTGGTCATGGGTTGGAAGGCCAAAGCAGGTCAGCAGCATCAATGTTAAATGTTCTGAAACTTTGACTTTCGACCCGTCTCCCAGGACCCTCTCTTTCCCTCATCAAAGTAAATCCTGTCCCTGCAAAATTGCATTAGTAGTAAAATGTAAAAGAATCAAGCATTTATGAGTGTCTGCTATTTTAATATATCATATTGTCATGCAAAGCATCGGTCGGTTTCTCCAAGGCAGTATTTTTAACGTTCCCAAATATCCCTTTTCCATTGAACACACGTCAGAGATGAGGCTTCGTAAATGATAACACGTGGAAAGTTGAAGTAAAATACTTGATCAGTCAGAGGCTGTACGATCCCTGTTGGCCGAGTCAGACTAGACTCTCCAATGGACCGTGTTTTTTTGTGAAGAATGAATTGTGTACGTTGCACTTGGTGGATGTATGTGGGACAAATCTAATCAGTTGTAGTTGACTTTGATTTATGTTAGCTTGGTGAATGAAATGATGTGAGTAATGTTTGAGTATGTTTGCCAGGACCAGACCTCTTGATAGGCAAGAGTCCCTTTTGAAAGTAGTCAATAATAATTCATATTATTGACTACTGTGAACTTATTTATTAACGGTTATATTGTACAATATATCGTACTGGTTTTGAACTGCCCTTAGGAAGAATGAAGATATGAGTCTGTCCATTACTGTTTAAGGAATGTTTAAGGTTTATTGTGTACGAGGACTAACAAAAACTGATTTAGCTTCAAATTTACACCAGGAGTCTGTTGTAGTTTAAAATGGGTCAAACTCCAGTAACTCTCTGCACAGCAGTAGTAACGACTTTAACACCTGATACTACCCCGTATGCTAGCTTTTTATTTTCCTTTTTAAGGCTTCATAAACTACTTTATTTAAAGATGTTGGTACTACGGTAATAGCAAAATACTTGAGAATTTAGGGGAAACCACTACTATGCTGTTCCCAGAAATGTCACACACTACGTATATTGATATCATGGCACAGGTTCATTTGTGAGTAAAGGTTTTACTTTCAGTGTTGCTTTGCGTTTCATATTGGGTCGAGGTTTTAGTTGTGTTGGATTATATAATGGATAAGACAATGTTTATTATGGCACTACAAATGATTGACAGACCGTGAGAACATTTCTCTAGCAAAATAGGTCAGCCCGTAGTAACAGCATACACAACTCTGGTAGCATTGGCGAGGCTCACTTTTCTTTTTATGCGGTGTTTTCCCAATAAGCTCTAATCCACTCGCTCACATCTGTTAACAACTTAAATAGATGTTGTTTACATAATAGCATATTTCTTAACAGAAAACAACACGAGTGTAATTAAAGCGGGGCTGGACATGTGATTGTGTATCCAGTGAGGCATATCAAGCAGAGGGCTGCTGGGCATTCATGACCATGTGCATTAATAGTGTTACGTAACGGTGACTTTATATTAACATCAAGGGAACTGTTTCATTTCATTGCATGTTTCATGTATAATACGTTTTAGCAGTTTTCTTCTCCCCCGTAGTTGAAAACGTCTTTATAATGAAGTATCACAATACTGAAAATGATTCTTTAATATTGGATCCTGTGAACCGATTTATGCTTTCAACACAATCTGCTGTCTTTTGTGATCTGTATGTTTGAATAAGTACAACGGACTTTACGTACTAACATTCTCTGTTATTGTGGTAATACACAGTGGCGCAGACACTGAACAGTTTGCCGTGTTGAATGCAGGACTCCCTCTATTCAGTGGAGCTGTATTACAGCTGAACTTAATTTGAGTAACATTTGCATAAAGTTGTGTGATACAATATGGGAGCAGCCACTACAGAGGAATCAATTTGTCTACAGGCCTGTACTAATACATCATCTGGCCTCCAGGGGGACCACAGTTTATAAATGTGTGTGGAGTTTATTTCACCCTGTGACGATACATGAACTTACATGAATGTAGGTCGGAGGAGGTGATTGTTACTGTACGAGCCAAAAGTCAGACTGTAAGAAAGGAAGTGTAATACAACACAGAGGTAGCATAACTCTGAGATTATCTGTCATGATGTCTGGATCTCCTGTGGAGTTGACAGAAGATATCGTAAATATTTGTCAACGGTATTGTATTGCAACTGTGCAAACATGTGGGTGACTGTATACAGTTGTAGCTGTAATTGCAGTCTGGGTTGAAACATGTTTATCTTCCAGTACACACGGACTCACTAATCCTTGAGAGGAGGAAGATTCTTGTTTTATGCTCCACCAAGAACCTCAGTGACGATCATTTGTCTCCGTGGGCATTTGTCATCAAATGGGAATTACATGAGGATGGAAAGGTATCCAGTAGAATTGTGGTTGAGCCATGATTAAAGATGGGTTGGGTTGGTTGGTTAAAAAGAATTTCAGAGGTTTGAAAAGTGGTTTCTACTTCGTTTTTGTGTTTTTTTTCTGCAGTTGAACACCCAGCTCCTAGTGCATTTGTGCAACTATGTACAACTGTTTGCATACAAACATCCCCACGTGTTTACAGACTCACAGGTGTTTTTCTCAGGTTTAGGTTTCGGTTGTTGACGCTGCCTACGAGATAAATGTTACGCTCCGACTTTTTACCCAGAGGAGGTTTTTATTTTTCCGTATTTGATGTAAAGTTTTGATCCAAAAGCATTCCCTTCTTTACCCGAGGAAAGCTCTGTCTGCAGCCCTGCCAGATGATCTGATATGCAGGAGTGTGATTTCAGTCAGCCGGTCCATTTTCTTGCGAGAGAGCCTTTAAATAACAACATGTCCTCGGTCAATGCTATAAGTATATCACAGATCAATTTCAATTAGGTGTACATTTCAAAAGCCACGGGCTTTTAAACTGCCATCTCTGTTGTGGTGATGCTGCCTCGGTGTCATCTAAATGCTTTGGAGGTTATGGGGTCGTGGTTGTGAGAGGGGATAATGGCAGAAAATCAGTCAGGTTGACTATTATGTTGCACATTTAGAGTCTATTTATGTTGGTGGTCACATCATGAGAGTTGCCCACGTGCTCATCAATACGAATAAAAACTCAAAGCAGTGCTTGGCTTAAAAGCCACGGTTGTTCCATTGTTAGACACATCAGTAAAATAAAGGGAATACGTGAATTGTGTCCTTTTTAAAGTCTGCTGTTCTTCTCATTTTAATATACTGTAATGTCTTAAGAACTTGTTTACAGTGTGTTGAGGGTCCATTAGACTTTGGATAAATGCTTGATCTAATATGGGGTTAGCACAAGCGGTAAGAAGTTATGAGGCATGCTAATGGAAAATAAGACCGTTTGTTTGTCCTGGTATTGAAGGTGTTGTGTGTGTGTGTGTGTGTGTGTGTGTGTGTGTGTGTGTGTGTGTGT